AAAAGCCTTGTATTAATACATTCACATTTAACCAATTATAAAATAAATGTCTAACATTTACAGCAAAAAAATACAAATCTTTTCTTTATTTATTAATTTTTATCCATGAATGAAACTATTCAAACACAATCATGAGATCAATGTAAAAGGAGGAAAATAACTGCATTTTGACTGAGAGAGAAAAAAAAACAGTAGAATGGGGTACGTAAATTACAGTATAGAATAGAAATGTAGGAAAATTAATAAACTAAAGGAAAGCAATCTAAATCTAATCAATAGTCAATAGATAACAGTTCTTTATATTACCAAAAATCTGACACAAACTTTTTTGTTGTTGCACATATGAAAAGATTAGAGCAGTAAGTCAGTCAGAAAAGTAGGGATTGAAGCCATGTATTTTTGTTTATGTATAAAAAAAATTCGAAACAAAAATAAAAAAGTAGAAATTCTTTAGGCTTAAACAAGACTTAAACAAATTTACACACACACACACACGCACGCACACACACACACACACACACACACACACACACACACACACACACACACAAATGAATTAGCCATATATGTTTTATGCAATATTTTAAAGTGAAATTCTTTTATCTTATTAGGAAGAAAGTATTTATGATGCAACAATGCTTTTCTCCACTTTCTTTCACTAATTAATGCAACCCAACGGAATCTGCCTTGCTGAACAATACAGTTTCTTTGCTGAAAAATGAGATGAACATGTTTATTATTACATTTTTATCTCCTCATCCACCAACAGTGTGCAGCATCCACCTGGATGACGCAACGACAGCCTATATAGCACCAGACCGCACACCACACACCAGCTGATTGGTGGAGAGGAGATGAAGAGTGATGAAGCCAATTGTGACATGGGGAGGTCATGTTGGACAGAGGCAAGTGGGCAAATTTGGCCAGGATGTTGAGGTTAAACCCCTACTGTTTTTCAAAAGGACATCCTGGGATTTTTAACAACCACAGAGAGTCAGGACCTCAGTTTAACATCTCGTCCAAAAGACAGTGCTCACTGAGCAGTATAGAGTCCCCATCAATATACTGGGGCATTAAGATCCACACAGACCACAGCAAGAAGCCCCTGCTGATGAAAACTGGCTCACTTAACCGGAAGTTTACTATACAAAAAAAATGCATTTTAAAATAAAGGGGAACAACCAATTTTATTCAGCATATAATTAGGAGTGAAAAATAGATATAGAATTTGGGTTTAATAAACATAACCACTTTATTCTAAATGCATAAACAGCTAAAAAAAAGTCTATGGCATTAAGTCCCCCCTCACTTCTGCAATGAGCCTTTTTATTTATGTGGCCAATTTTTCCATATAAAGTTCAAGAAGAGTTTATTAATAGACCCAATCAAAACTAAACACAAAATTGTCTTATTGTGACGTTATTTCGACAAAGTCTATACAGAGTCACTATTTTATTACTTGTGAAGCTTTATGATGAATAAAGCATTAATAATATAAAGTAATGCTTTATTTAAAAGCGCTTGGACATCATTTGTTGTTCCAATGGTTCATTTTTGAGAAAGGAAAATCTAAAGCAAACTCAATGTAAAAATTGGAGACCCTTTCATTCAAAGATCAAATGCATAAATAAAACAACACATTAGGCCTAAATATTTCAGTATCATGTAAAAACTAAACTACCATCTAAACATCTACCCCAGAGGGAATCCGTTGCTCTAAAATGCTAAAAAAAATGACTTGAAATGTTGCCAATAGCTGTACTTTTGCTATTAAGCGTTTCTCTGCCTATAGTTTGCATACCCATGCTTTGTACAAGGACACAACATACAGTTGATGTCTATAGCCTACATTTAATACAGGACACTGTATTAAACTGTACAGTATCCTGAATCTGATATTCTAAAAATAAGGTTTATTTTATTTCCAAATAGCTTCTATAAAGCAAGCCAAACACACATTTTACGAGTACAAATTGTTTATTGCTAATGTGGTAAACAACGTTAAAGAACTTTTGAGCCATGAGTTTATTTTCTTGCTGTGCCAGCTCAGAATTTTAAAATCCTCTTGCTATGTTCGGATTCCACTCTTATCACCCAGCCTAATGTATCTTACTGCTTGACAGGCTCTCCCCCAAAAAATATGACCAGTGTAAACATTCATCAGTGTGGGTCTAACAAAAAATGTGCTTACATCGGTGCTAACTGTAGACTGCATACTTCACATCATAAAGCTTTCATCAGTGCCTTGTCTCGCTGTCTGGGGGAAAACATGGCTGACAAAGATCTGAAAGATATAAGTGTGTGCCTATAATGAAGATGTACAGTCTACTGGGAAGATTTTATACAGTTGCATTTTGCAGTAAAGCAAGTATATGAGTTTGAGCGTGTCTGCGTTTGCTGTGATATGTCATAAATAAATAGTGTTTTTTCTCAGGTCAGTAAACTCTGGAGTTTTTCCTCAGTTCTGTTGAGATGAAGATAAATTGCCTGCCTCAGTACGATTAATTTTTATTTCTCTTCATGCTAGTTCTAAAAGAGAAGAGTGTTTTGGTGCTATAAAACAAGTCTAAAACATCAGTATAATGATGGATAGTTCCCTGTATGAGGTCATATAAATAACAATGTTGTGCTTTTTTCTTATTACAGTCACTCAATCAATCAAGATTTGATCATTTTAACTTATTTTTAGTAGAAAATAAACATAAATTTCCGGGATAACGTTATTACTGGAGTGACGCAGTGGTGCAGTAGGTAGTGCTGTCGCCTTACAGCTAGAAGGTTGCTGGTTCGAGCCTCGGCTGGGTCAGTTGGGGTTCCTGTGTGGAGTTGGCACGTTCTCCCTGTTTGTGTGGGTTTCCTCCAGGTGCTCCGGTTTCCCCCACAGTCCAAACACATGCGGTTCAAGAGAATTAGGTATAGGATAAATTGTCAGTAGTGTATGAGTGTGTGTGGATGTTTTCACAGAGATGGGTTGCGGCTGGAAGGGCATCCGCTGCGTAAAAACGTGCTGTATAAGTTGGCGGTTCATTCCGCTGAGGCAACCCCGGATTAATAAAGGGACTAGCCGAAAAGAAAATGTATGAATAAATGAATGAATGAATGAACATTATTACTATCCAATTAGTTATTATTTTTTATATTAATATTTTATTTGATTTTAATTAGGCTACAGCAGTCCAAGTTTAAATGGTACTTTTTGAGTAATTTGTAACAAAATTGTTACAAAACTTTGTACAAAATAACAATTCTTAGTATTTTCTCCACTAATATTCCCATCTCACCTCTACCATCTACTGGACAACCAGTTAATGTGCAGTTGATGGATTTTCTTTAGCCAATAAACCTAAATAAACAAACATACAAACAAACAAACAAATAAATAAATAAATAAACGAATGAATGAATAAACAAACAAACAAACAAATGAATTAAGAATAAATAAATAAATAAATAAATGTAAATTCATATTTGGTGTGCATATGGCATTTGTGTTGTTTATGGCATGGGTTTATTTGCATTAATGTTTTATTTGGCTAATATATTTGGCCTACCTGAGGTAATAGCTGATAGCTACTTAAAATCTTTTCTTAACTTTAGGAGAACTGTGGTTTTAGACTTCTGAAAGTAGCATGAGCTACTTTTAGTGTTCCATATTTACAAGGAAGACAAATACAATAAACAAGCCCATAACAAATCTTTGAGATACTGCAGACATACATTTAATGAGCTGATGTGTTTGTTTGTTGGTTTGTTTGTCCTTTTTAAGAGAGTTTAAAAAACGACCTTTACACGGCAGGTGGCGCTATACCCCAACAATAAAAATTGCGCTACACTGTTACTCGGAGATGGGTTTTATTATGCTGTGAGATGTTTGTTATTTTGTTTATTTTTAATAATTTGCAATGTTCGTTTGAAAAACAAAAACTGCACCATACTAATAAAAATATAGCTTAGTCGTCTGAAGGCAATTCTGATTAGCTATTTTTAAAGAGAAAACTTGAAATGTCTATACGTGTTCCTTATAGGAGGTGAATTCGATACTTTGTTGACGCACCTGGGTTTTTTGAACGAAACTCTCATCTTCTATGAAAACTAAAGAACACTAAACCTGTGCGCAGACTGCTGAAGGAGGTTGTGTGGAAAGCCAGTTTAGCATTCAATTCAAACGGGTATGGTTTGTCAGTGACGAAGCAGCATTTCGTTGCTAGGGATGGAAAAGGAAAGTGGGGGTTTAAATTTCTCAAAATTGAAAACTTGCCTTTATGATTTTTTTTTTCTTCTTCTTGTCCAAACAGAAAAACGTTTTAAACATAAAATCAATATTGCTTTATGCCATAATAGTTTTACAACAGATGAAGTGCTGCACAAGCTTTTATGACAATATTTAGTTATAAAAAGGCAATGATAAGCTATTACTTATTTCAAAAACATTATATAAACAAATAAATACTGGTGGACTATGAGGCTAGAATGGTCTCAGTGCTACACAAAAGTGCTGTAACATTAAAAACAAAAATTATAATAAAAATAATATTAATAAACTAATTTAAACTGTGTGTGATCTTAAAATGAGCAAACCAGGGCCTGTACCATGAAGCCAGATTAGCTGGCGAGCCATCTAAGTTTTAGTTTGGTTTGTACCAATAAGTAACATGAATGACTTTTTACTGTTTGTTGGCATAGTGCTATGGAGAGGCTGAGCTGAGTTGCCTTCATGGTAACTAAAACCAAAAATAAATAAATAAATAAATATCTAGACCAAACAGCTAAACCAAAGAGAGAACCAAACTACAACAAAAATTTGACAATTCTATTAAAAGTATAGTATGGCATACTTGTAGATAGTTTGAAGGAATACATAGCTTGCCATATGAGAGGTTTGTTTTTCAGTTCTCTCATGAAATGCGGGCGGAGTTTCTCCAGTGTGAGGAGCGCAGCTGCTGCAGGGCCACTGCTGGCTTCTCCATTCATTACCATACATTCGCTTGTGTCCATCACCGCGCGAGCAGACACGCTCACATCCAGGGTAAATTTCTGCTCACATTCATTCATCGCTAATGAGGACGACAGCCAGTGGAGACTGAACACCGAGTCGTCAAGAGGAATTTAGCGCAGTTTGCGGTGGAAATGTTGATGTGAGCCGTGACTGCGGAGACTCTCCGAGCATAGAGGAGTGTTTACCGTTCACGAGCTGATCTCACGCGTAACGCACCGCAATGAGCGCTCCATCACATCCAGTCTGAATTTGGTCTAATCGGTGCTGAGGGGACTCCTTTGGTATAACCCCTGCAAACGAGGACATCAAAATGGGCAACAGTTTCTCCAATATATCTGCGTTTCAGTCCCTCCATATAGTGATGCTTGGCTTGGACTCCGCAGGGAAAACCACGGTCCTTTACAGACTGAAATTTAACGAGTTTGTCAACACTGTGCCCACAATAGGATTCAACACAGAAAAAATTAAGCTGAGTAACGGTACTGCCAAGGGAATAAGCTGTCATTTTTGGGATGTTGGTGGTCAGGAGAAACTCCGGCCCTTGTGGAAATCTTACAGTAGGTGCACGGATGGCATTATTTATGTGGTGGACTCTGTGGACGTGGACCGACTGGAGGAGGCCAAGACGGAGCTGCACAAAGTGACCAAATTTGCTGAAAACCAAGGAACGCCACTTTTAGTCATTGCTAATAAACAGGACCTGCCAAAATCTCTGTCTGTTGCGGACATAGAGAAGCAGTTAGCGCTTCAGGAACTCACGCCTGCCACTACATATCACATACAACCAGCCTGTGCCATCATAGGTGAGGGGCTACATGAAGGAATGGACAAACTGTATGAAATGATAGTCAAACGACGGAAAAGCCTCAAACAGAAGAAGAAACGATAACTATCCAAGCCTGAATCTGCCTTTTTCCCCCACTGCTGATGGCTTAAGTCACTGGGTTTGCCATTTCAGCATTTCACTGTTGACATTCATTTAATGGTTGTTTGTTCTTCAGCTGGATTTATGTTGCATGTGATCATGATGGCGCAGGTGAACCAAAAACAAAATATGGAAATTATTTGTTTGATATTAAAGGGCTGGTCCCGAATAAGCTGCCATTACTTTGCATAACCTGGCCATCAGTTTGAAGGAGTTCTCTACTGAAGCACTGTGAAAAACAACATAACCTTTCATGGAATGCTTGATATCTTATTTTGACTCTTCTAAGGACATTATGGAGAACTGTAGCAGCAAAGCCCAGATGGGGTTTAAGGACCTTGTAATTCACAAAATTATAAGACTGGAGTGAGTTTGAGGCCTAGATTTACAGGAACTCTGAAGAACACAAATGATGGACCGTGCCTGTGACACGGTCCATCTCTAAGCACTTTTTTTCTTACCAAGATAGTAGTGTATGACGCTGTAGACCAGATATTAGACTGTCAGTGTAATACAGAGTCAAATGAATCCTGAAGTATTTTTCAATTAAAATGTGTGTCAAAACAAACATCTTCTCCTGTTCTTTATCAGGGTAAGGTAAAAGGGTATTTGAGGTGAATTCATGTTTTTTATAGTACATTACACAAGTATGAATGATTAATTCAGACTGTTTTAAATGGGAGGTGATTCTGAAGCAAAGCTTTCTGTAAACACTGAAAAAAAGCCTTCAGAAATCACTTTTCAATAAAGGAAGCTAGGGTGTTTCGCTACTCAATGCTTAAACGAATCTTTCCTTTTCCTGTCTTTTTTTATTCTGATGTATGCAAAATAAGATATTTAAAGAAAACTGGAAACCTAACCACTCTTCAAAATATCTTCTTTAGTGTTCAAAAGAAAAATGTTACTCATAAAGGTTTGTAACCATATGAGGGTGAGCGAACGATATGAACATTTTGATTTTAGGTTGAAGTCTCCCATTTAAAGGATAGCTCATAATCTAACTCCTTGAATGTATTTTTAATTTAAAATCACAGTTCTGTATGCAATTCCTATCATTTCAACTGCAATTGTTATTTATTACGTTTTAGGTGGATGACTTTGTAAGACTTTTCAGCAAAAACATTGTGTACACTGTAAAACCCAAAAAGCTAAGATAACTTAGACCGTTTTAGGAAACCAATTGCAACAAACTATTTAAGTTAAAAAAACTAATCCTAATGAGTACTGTGAACTTAATCCATTTGAGTAAATGAAGCAATTTGAGCACAGTAAAACCCAATAAATGAAGAGAACTCAAACCAACTGGGTACTGTAAAACCCAATAAGTTAAGGCAACTCAAACCATTTGAGTTAAAACACTAATCTATGCGAGTACTGTGAACTTACTCCATTTGAGTTTGTAATGAGGTATTTTATTAACTCTTTACCTTCAACACTGAGTTCAAAACTTTTCATATGAGTGGAAATAAATTTCAGTTAATTTTGAGTCTATTACTCTCATTTCATTTGATAAAGTTGACTGTTGAATAACCCGTTTCTAGCCACGCTTACAATGGTGTCTTTCTATACCCCATGTAACTCTTTGGTTTCATCCCAAGAGAAAAGAGATGGTCAGTTTATACAAAAACCTTTATTTAAGAAGCCTGGTTGTTCAAGCGCAGCACAATTATAGTAAGATTGTGTGGTCTTACCCGAAACACTCTCAGATTAACAATAACTTTAAATAATCTTTTAGAAACGCAATTATTGCAGTCTTCACTCATCAAGCTTCCCTAAGCATCACACTAAATAAACATTAAGAAACAACTTGTGAAAACAGTTGTCAAGGCAGTTTCTTTGTAATTAGTGGGGTTGTTGTTAAGAGTCATTTGTCTCGTTGATAGGTGAGATGATAAGAGCCACACTATACATGAAACTTTGATGAAGATCAGGTTTCACTTGGGGCTTTTGTGGAGACAGACGGCAATTCCCTTTGCACCTCTAAATGGACAGTAGAAGATGATGCCATAATGAGATCATGAAGGCAATCTCCACTTTGTCTAAGGAAAAGACAGGTCTTCACCATTACCTTAGTTGTATGTAACTCAAATAGAACTCAGCACTTGTGATATATAACTAATCCTAAATGTAAACATTCACGTAAGGTAGGATTAAAAACACCTTCAGAAAGATGAAAACAGGTCAGCAGTTTTGAGGTCAGCAAATATGCATCCAGAAATTTCTCACAACCTTTTGTCAGAAACGGTTTTGGCCCACATTTATTTTGAACAGATTCTGACTTGGTCTCACATGATTAAAACTATGAGGGCCTTCCTGTAACAAAGATAGACACTGTGACAATAAAAATAAACAACTGCTGAGTCAGAAGGAAAAGTAAATAATGCAACCAAGCATTTTTTATAGTTCTACATTGCCACATACTCTCTCACTGCAGTTCTGTTGACTGGATTGTAAATAAAATCTTGATGCATTGTTCTGGATATTATATTGAAACAAAACTAATATCAATGTCAGAATATTCATTTATTCACTTTCTTTTTGGCTTAGCCTCTTTATTACTCAGGGGTCGCCACAGCCGAATGAACTGCCAACTTATCCAGCATATGTTTTACTCAGTGAATGCCCTTCCAGCCACAATCCAACACTGGGAAACACCCATATACTTTTGCATTCACACATACACTATGGACAATTTAGCCAACCCAATTCACCAATAGCGCATGTCTTTATACTGTGGAGGAGACCTGAGCACCCAGATGAAACCTATGCGAACACTGAGAACATGCAAAGTCCACACAACAATACCAACTGACCCAGCTGGGGCTTAAACCAGTGACCTTCTTGCTGTGAGGCAATCATGCTACCACTGTGCCACCGTGACACCAAGATAAAGAACATTTGACACATATATACCCTTATGTGCGTAAAATGCTAATGTTGTGTTTTCCCAACTGCATTTTGGGCTTCTGTCGGCTCTTGCTGTTGTGAAGTTTGACACAAATACAGTATGCAACTACAATGCATAAAGCTTAGGCAGCAGCCCGTCTTAGCTCTGCGTGAAGCAAATGTAGCTCTCCTGTCAATCACATGCAAACCTTTGGCCCCCATATGTGTAAATTGTGTGAGAGACTGGAGGTGCCTGAACGAAAGAAAAGTGTGAGATGTGAGAAATGTACGGAGGAGGGGAAAGCTGTTTACATTTCCCTGGAGAGGGGGATGGGGACAGAGACTCATAATGGGTGCATGTCTGTGTCGGGGGCAGGGGTGGAAATCTCCAGGATCCTTGAGGGAATTGCACTAGAGAAAGAAGAAACCTTCAGTAAATGGCTGCAAATCAATGCCTGTGTCCACCATCTCTTACAGGAGAAATAAGTAGAGAGAGAGAGAGAGAGAGAGAGAGAGACAACCCCCCACTGTGTCCATCAGGCCAGTTCAGTTTCTCCACAAATGAGGTATCAGGAAGCATTATTGGCATTTGTTGTTTACGTTCTCAGTGCATAAAGAAACTTGCATCTGAATCGTAATCCATTTGAGGTTTATTTCAGTACAGTGTCAGTACAGCTGCAGAACATTATATTGCATAGTTTGAAAAAGTGTCAACTTTGTCATTGCAAAGTCAAAGCACTTTTTTTTTTTTTAAATTTGAGGGTCAGGTCATTCTCTTATGGCCCGTACAAGTCCCCTTTATCAGGCTTGCAATTCCACTGCCAAAAGGGTACCAATGGTACTCTTTTGGTGGGCATGGTGTATGGCAGAAAGTTTCAGTCAACGTCATTCTCGCTCCAGGAAATGTCAAAGTAAAGCTGTACGGGTCGTTCAAATATCATATGAGAAGCACTTCTCATGAAACAGATCAGGGCTGGAGTGGGACTCTATTTCAGCCCTGGAGTTTCAAGCCTTAGACTGGCCCACCTCAGTTCACAACTGACTATATTAAAATAACGTAATTTCCAATTCCGTTTTTAATGACACTATCACGTCTTTTTCAAGGAAACAGCTGCCTTGTAACTTCAAACGTTTTTCATAAATATGAGAAGATTAAAGGGTAGCTAAATCTCCAACACTATTCTTTAAAACATCACAATGTCCTTTTCTGCAATTTCTGAATTCCGTGCAAAATTCTTTATAGATATCCAGTCCTTTGTAACGGTGGTCACACGAAAAATAAAAAATGTACACATACATAAGTAATCTAAACAGTATTATATGTTTTAAAACTAAATATGAAAAAAAAATACTCAGATGAGGTTTGAATTCGGGTCGGCAGCATCGTAGCGCAACATGCTGATCATTGGACCACTTGGCACTTTTATGCTGATTTGTTTGGAATGAAAAATAAGTATTGCACTGTTATCTGCAAGACTCTTAACCACAGTATGACTTTCTATTGACGGCTTAATCTTTTCTCCCCTTTTTAGATAAAGTTATGTAAGATTTAATTATGTAGTGAATCATCTGATTTTCATTGAGCAGGTGTAATATTCTTTAATATTAATTATTCGAGTTTTTATATTCACTAAGGTGCCGCTGTTTGGGGTCGAATGATAGTCACATCATCATTAACCTGCAGGCTGCATTTTGCTCACGAGGCTGCGAGAAAATAAATAAAAAGAGCAAAGCTGCTGCAAAATAATGAATAAAAAGAGTGAGGCTATGGTCAAATAAATAAATAAATAAATAAAATATGACTGCTGAAAGTGCAAGCAGCTAGGGACACCGGCCCTCGCAGTGAAAAAATGGACCGGCTCACCGGGAATTCTCCCGGTCCTCACAATTACAAATCCGGGCGTGAAACAAATGATTTATACACATAAATACTTGTGTAAAATGTTCATTACTAACCTTTCTATGAGCATGATTTGATTTTAACTGTAGATCAAAGATCTGGGAACGACGCAGTGGCGCAGTGGGTAGCACGTTCGATCCTCGGCTTAGTTGGCGTTTCTGTGTGGAGTTTGCATGTTCTCCCTGCGTTCGTGTGGGTTTCCTCCGGGTACTCCGGTTTCCCCCACAGTCCAAAGACATGCGGTGCAGGTGAACTGGATAGGCTAAATTGTCCGTAGTGTGTGAATGTGTGGATGTTTCCCAGAGATGGGTTGCGGCTGGAAGGGTATCCGCTGCTTACGTGAAAAACTTGCTGGATAAGTTGGCATTTCATTCCGCTGTGGCGACCCCAAATTAATAAAGGGACTAAGCCGACAAGAAAATGAATGCATGAATTAATGATCTGTAGATGTGAAATAGCCTACTGTACTGTCTGTAATTATATAAAATAAATAAATAAATGCAACATATATGAATACATACAGAACCTTGCAGTCTCCAATATGTTAACAATTACAAAAAAATTACACACCGCATACACTCTTATTTGGGTTCAAAAACAAGAAATATAGCCCAGTCAGTGCAAACCTCTGATCTGCATCTTTAGTCCTCACCAGCACATATGACCCCTCGTTAGAAAGTTAAACACAGAAGTTTGTTTATGCTTTAGGTTGCTGAAAGAATCCTTTGCTCCTTGGTTTTCCAGCTTCTCCTTTGTTATTTTGTGCTTCACTCTCGTGTTTG